TAGCCCGTTCTGTGCTCTACAATTTCTGTGCTAAAAACTTTTCATTATGACCTTTACCTTTGTCGGAATTCACGTTTTTGTTGATAGCACTCGAAAAAAAGGGTCTTTTTTCGTAACGCCGTTACGGCCTACAAAAACCGTTCTCAAAATTCGAAACTTCATCCAAAAAATTTCATTTCTATACCGTAAATGGGGGTCGACGAGCTGCAGCGAATGGCGTTTAAATGAGCTTTTTAACTATTTTAGTTTTCGAGATAATTTCATTTTAGTGCGTTCAAAACGTAACGCCGTTTCGTTTGGACAAGCCGAGAAATCTTATCATTTTCTTATATAAGATTCTTATCAATATCTTACGCATTTCCATCGACTGCCTTATATAAGATTCTTATAATCTTACAAGAATCTTGCAGATATTCTATAAGATTTGATCTCTAGGGTAGTAAACAGCGAAAACATATTCATCAGTCGATGAGCGAACGGGCGAGCGTGCGGCTGCCCATGGGACTTTTTTGTCATGTGAAACGATGTCTAAACGCGTGTAAACGACGAAATAATAGAAACGCAACGTGTCTCAAGCATCGACTGAACGTGTTTCTATTATTTCGTCGTTTGCACGCGTTTTGACACCGTTTCAAATGAAAAAGAAATTTCACAGTATCGCCACGAATGGAATATGAAATGGTATGAGGTAGTGCGTAGTTTGTCTCTCCCATTTTCCTTATACTTTTGACAAAATTTTAGTGTTTTAGAACAAGCTTTTGGATGATTACCGTTTACAACTAGAAATAAAAGAAAAAATCTGTTTTTTTAGAAATTTCGTTACTTAAACAATAGTTATTAATTTTTGAGTTTTGGGCATTTTTTGGGTTTGCCCAATTTTAAACATTGTCCAGCAAAATAAATAACACTACCTTCATAGTTATCATGAGACAAAATGGTTAAGACTTGTGTATGATTCTCCCAATATTTTGGACTTTTTTCTATCAGAAATGTGTCAGGAGGTTACTAGAAACATTTTCTTCGACTTAATTTCTCGAAATTTTGATGCGAGATTTTTGATACATTTGAGGAACCCTAGGAATCATCATCATTTCTAGTCATAATCATTCCTCTAATTACTATTCTATCCATTATTACAAGTGAAACTACAACTCAGCAGCTGAAGACTAAACGGAAGAAAGAAGTCAACTGGCTGTGCATTCTAGTGCCAGCTGTTGTTATTATTCTACTACTTTTAGCTGTATTAGCTGTTCTATGTCAACGTCGGAAGGGGAGGATGCTACTAAAGATTTCATATGAAGCCCCGAGTCCAAATATGAATAGCAAAGTTTCTAAACACCTTTCAAGTATTCTGTTTGTTCGGCGTCACTCTCGAGCAAGTCTGAGCAGGAAAATATGGAATTTGTTTTATTGGATTCTTGCAACGTTACTATAGGCTGCAATAATCTGAAGTCACAGTTTTGGAATAAAATAAGGACCTCCGAAAAATCTTCAAAAAATTTTAAATGCATAGTTCGATTACACTGGGAAATTCTGAATAGACGGAGAAACCATTTGGCTTTAGAAGGACATTGTGTTGCCGAATATAATTGGCAATGCAAATCATGCGGGTTTTCGGCTACTTTTTTCCTGCTCAAAATCTAATTCTATGACTTCACTATAATTTCTGTCCAAATTGACCCACACGACTCGCGAATAAAGCTAACTGAACCGTGTACTTTAAGGTTTCTCATCAGCAGTAGCTCGCCATTTCTTGCTAAAGAAAACTATGCTGTTTTCCACCAGCTCAGTTCCAGCTTGTTTGTTTCTCCTGTTTCTTCTGTTATTCGTCGAATAACATTTCCTACTCCTATAGCCACTTGCTCGAGAGCTGATTTATAATCCGCCAAATCTGGTACATCGAAATGATAGGCCACTGTTTTTTTCGGGTATTTGCTAACTAATATTCGAAAATTTGTTACTATTATGATGGAATGATTAACCTATCGTTCGATCATATCTTTTGGAAGTGCTTGAGGTACGTTCAAAATTGATTAAGTGTCCAATGCATGATGAATACAAGAATAAGAACAAAAGCGAAAAGGCATCTGAAACGTACTCATTTACTTTCTAAAAACAATAATTTCGTTTCGTTTCACATGCAGCCATAAAATGACAGATTTTGACTTTTGACGTACATTTTCGAAACAACTAATACTTCCGTTTCTAAATCCGCACAAAATTAATTGATAGATAATAGTGTGAGGATGATTGCTGGTAGAAGTGTCATTTTGCCTCAATGTGTAAGTCTAGCTGATTGTCTTTCGCACGTTTGTATATAATTACAAGGGAATAATTTTCATATGGTTTAGAACAATATTATTGAACCACTTCCAGATTGTCATGAAAGATTCACCGCCGTTGTCCAAATTAAAACTTTACTGTCATTTTGACACTTTTTTCAAAGTCGACTTGTTTGTATTGTTTTCGTTAATCGCAGTAAACTCACGCGCTTCATCCCTGGTAAAATTCGTATGAGTTTCCCAACAGGACTGACAGGATCAGACATATCTTCCCAATATCCTACTAGGACTTCGGTTAAGTTTGTTTAGGATTCTAACAAAATCCTATGAAATCAGGTATACCCGAAAGTCATAGGATTTTCTAAGATTCTAGTAGGATCCTCAACAAACTTAAGCGAAATTCCAGTAGGATCCTAGCATTTTAGGATCCTGCTAGAAAGTCTTAGGTGGATCCCTAAAGTCTTAGGTGAAATGTTAGGATCCTGTAAGATCCTAGTAGGAAATAGACAGGAAGTGCGTAGGATTTTGTCTAAGACTAGAGCTTTTCTTCCCTCGTGATCCTCAGTATATCATCAAAGTTTCAGTTCTTTTTTCTTTCGTTCGGATAAAAAGTAAGTTTTACTATAAAAATGTTCTACTGGTAATCTTCCTAGCACTTGTTTTTTATATGTTAAGACTATATTCTTACGCGCTGTATTTCGCTATCCCAAGTGATGTGCTTATATTCATCAAATGGGTCTAATTTATTCAAATCTGAAGACAAGAGTTATGTACAATTCTTTGACACGAAAAAGATTAAAAATTGTTTATAAATATTCAATAGGCAATCGATTAATTACCGTAACTCTGTTTTCAGACAAAGCTCATGCCAACGAGGAAATATTTTGATAGTTGAACAATAAAAGTTAGGCAAAATATTAGACAACATTGAACTAACTAAATATACATAAACTGAGTTACATGCGGCTCGGTATTGTACCAATTTGTCTTTGATTTTTTCGAAATATAAGACGAATAAACTCTCGTCGAAACAATTTTGATGTTAAGCAATGTATATAAAAATTAATGGCATAATTAATGTTGAATATGAACGTGACAACGCACAATGCTGCTAAAAGTTTGGTGATTGATACATTAAATACAAGAATTGGTCGATAAATCAGAATATGATAGATACCATTTGGGAGAGTTGTTAATATGAAAATGACTATTGATGCTAACATCATGATGAACATTTGCTTTTGAACAAAATTACCACTTTTTACTTTTGATCCATCAGCAGTATTTACCGTATTCAAAGTGTTGGCTGTTGATTCCTCATTACCATGATGAGCAAGACGTTGACGGCGTTTTTGGATATTGAAACACATATCACCAAGTGTCACTGAGTGCGTAAACCACTGAGTGGGTTAGTGAGAAACGTTAATCGTTTTGATTTCTTGGTCTCAAACACGTCTAATGGGCGACACTTATAACTCGAGAAGGAAACATTTCTGAAAAGTTAAATTTTAAGTATACTCCAGTAGGTGTCCGTTCAGTTGTCCCAAATTGACTTCTCAATTCGCCCCACGAAGCTTTTTTCTCAGTTCGTTCCATATTGGTTAACACTTACTTAATTCAAAGCCATTTTATCGGTAGTTATTCGAAATTTGGGGTGATTAAGCCCTCTACGATGATAAAGTGAAGCATCAACATTCGGAAGTGTTGGAAACAAACGACCAGTTGCAAGACCAGGAGTGACAACTCTTGCTCTAACGACCTCTTGTGAATATATTTTTGGAATAGGTAGCGTTTCCTCTCTTGCACGTTTTTTCATATTATCAACAGCAATATCAATGAGGTCATGGTGGTGTCTGGTTTGCATGTGTGTACTGATTCATTTCGTAAAATTCTCACATCGTCTGTACATAATAATATCGTACTTGAACATGTTCAATCCAAACATCACCATTGATTATACTCATTATGAGTCAAAACTGGTTTCTCCTTTTCAGTAGACGTGGAAATTAACACTTGGATGAACAAAACAATTTAACTTATTTAGGTTTAAATTTGTGATAGTAGTAGCTAACAAGACACAGTTTGCTACCTACGCGCACCTTGTATTGTCTAGCTGTTCGATGGTGCAACACTGTATTTATTTTGAGACGCGAGCATAGAAATCTGCAACGAATTTAGAAAAAAATATATGGGACGAAGTGAAAGTAAACCCTCCAGTCTACGATAGAGCTACATGTGGTGAAAATCGACTTATTTGAAGATGTGTTTATCATGAATAATATGCACAATAATTAAAAATACAATGCTCGTGATCAAATGAAAATGTGAACGTTTTCAGGAAGCTCTTGTATGATCTTTCTCTTATGTAAGCCTGATGTGTGCTGTTTGATCGTTAATGGGCTCGGAGTAGTTAGTTTCTATTTTGAACCTCTTATGTGTTAGCTACTTATGTTTGATAATGTGATTAAAATTTGATTAAAAACGATAGAAAGGGCTTATTTTTTCGATCGTTTTTCTTTTACAAAATCCGGCATAAACCGCACTTAAACTAAAGCTATTAGCACCAACAATGAAGTTTAATTTTTCATTAAAAACAGTTCACTTTTGAGGGTCTGACGCATCTACTAATCCATTTTTAACATATATTATATAGGCCAGAAACTTTCAGTAGCTCAGTTCATAAAGTGTCGAATTATTTATCTGCTCGGTCAGGAAAACATGACTTCGTCAAACTCGAGCTCAAATCCAACAACAGTCCCAGACTTTGTCGATTTGTATTATGCAGCCTATTATGCATTAATGACACCAGTCATTTTTGACATTTATTCTTATGGTTACATTATTCTTTTTATTCTCGGTTTTCTTGGTAATATTAGTAGTACTTTAACATTTGCACGTAAAATGTTGCGTAAAGTATCAACAAGCATATTTTTCTTATCATTATCCATTTCGGATTCAGCATATTTATTGACATGCATATATGATTTCGTACAACTAGGTCTGAGAATACCAGATCGATCATCAGCCGATATGTATCAACGCCTATGTCAATGCCGACAGTTCATCGCTAATGTTGCCATCAATTGTTCAGCATGGACGTTGTTTTCAATTTCTGCCGATAGATGGATTCGAACAAGATTTCCAGCCAAAGCAAAATCAATTTGTACACAGAGAACTGCAACAATAACCCTGGTTTTTATTCTTCTATTTTCTGCTGTAATGAACATTCATTTCCTAACACCAATGTTTGGTGCATTAATTCCTGTAAGTTACGTCCTCTGATATATTCATAGTAGAGTTTAGATAAATTATATTCAGCATTTTTATTATTTTTAGGGTTATACATTGATGTGTGGTCCCAGCGTTTATCAAGCCTATAGTCCTTATTATAACTTTTATATGTACTATTGGCAAATTATTCAAGCAGTCGTTAGTCTTGTTATTCCAGGTATACTCATGATGTTGGCACTTGGCGATATGTTTTTCAATATCCAAAAACGCCGTCAACGTCTTGCTCATCATGGTAATGAGGAATCAACAGCCAACACTTTGAATACGGTAAATACTGCTGATGGATCAAAAGTAAAAAGTGGTAATTTTGTTCAAAAG